GTACCCGACCAGATTAGTGGTGATGCCAACTTGTGGTCAAAATATATAATTACACTGAGTAACATGGTAGTAACTTTTGCTAGAGTTAACATATGTTATTTTGAATATGATCTGTGTTTCCCTACCGAATTTCAGAACAGTGTCCCCTATTGGTCAGGAGATATAAAAATTAGCTTTTTGTCTTTATTTCATTCCAGTTGTTTCATTCATATTATATTATTATATAATATCATAAAATTGGTCCTAATGTGTTCTGGCAATATTCTAAGTCTGACCAGTTAGTTTTATAGTAAAAATAACTTTGAATACTGCTCTGAATTTGATTAGTTGTTTTTCAGTATGCTTAGAATCTCTCGCGGATAAATGACTCGAAGTTTTTCTGTTAGATACGGTTTGTGTTCACGTTTTTTCTTCCTGGACGCCCGTCAAAACTAGCTCTTGTCTGAATGTACGGCATGCATATGGCAACGAAGACAACGTATGATGAATTTGAAGTTTATGGATGCAAATACTTGCGTGAAAGCTCTGTTCGTGGTGTTGTGGCTTTATTAAAGATAACTTGAGATTCGAGACAAGTTTATTATTATGAAATAATTTTAAACAAGAAGATTGTGATGAGCTACTTATCATGTGTATGCATTTAAACATTTATTATAGTTTTATTACCATATACCATTCTTCTTGTTATTTTTCAGAAATAAAAGATATCATTGAGCTGGATGCAGGCCGCTTCATTCAGTACCACTTCAGCCCTGCTTTTTTAAGCCTGAGGGAGATTGGAGCCACGTAGGTCTTCGTTTTTTAACTGTTTTTGCTTCATGAAAACTAGAGAAATGGATTGAGTCAATCTGTGTTGGTAAGTTTAGCCTTAATTGAATCTCTTTTGACCAGAGTTGAGTTTACAGTGGGTGGAAAGGCAGTGAACAAGTTTCGTCTGATCGAGAGGCATTACTTCCGGGATCTACTTCTGAAGACCTTTGATTTTGAGATTGGCTTCTGTATCCCACACAGCAGGAACACATGTGAACACATCTATTGCTTGCCAGACCTGGACACACACACCAGTGAGAAACACACACATCACTAAAAGAAAGTGTTGAGAATGTTGAAAGTGTGCCATGTCAACTTTTCCATCTTCCATCTAGTTCAGGAGATGATCAGTCACCCATATGAAACCCGGTCAGACAGCTTCTACTTTGCCAACAACACTCTGATCATGCATCACAAGGCAGAGTACTCCTTCACAGAGGGTCTGGAGACCAGTGAAAATCAAGGCTGAACATGTGAATAGATGTGTAAACGTGACGGTAAACCAATGTGAATCATCAGCAGTCATGTCCGCTGGCGTATTACTTGAAAATGTGCAGACTACTGCTATTTGCACCTTTATGTTGCTTTTTGATTAATTTGCTTACATGATTAAAATTGTTCATGAAGTATAAAGATAAAAAAGATAAATAAATATAATAAAGATCAATTGCCATAGTAGTCCTTGTTTAGCTCTCTATTACATGTGATGATAATATCTATTGAATTCTCATTATTTTCTAAATTCCCCTCCACCAAAGCGTATAAACGTTTATATAGACACTACATTTATAAACATCTTCATCATTTTTATATTAGAAATGCAGTACTGTGGTAAAATTTTAGGCAGGTGTGGGAAAGAATTCTACAAAGAAAGCTTTCAGAAAAATAATGATTATTTATTTGGTGAATTTACTAAATTGTGAGCAAACAAAGTGACCAATATTTGGTGTTATTCCCTGTCTAGAATCACTTGGACAAAGTCAGGGATTTTGTAGGATTATAGTCTTGTGTGTTATCTAGTTATACCAAACAGGTGCAAATGATCATCACTGTAACAGTAGATTGAAGCACAGTCGTGGGCTGAAACAGAAACAGCTCTGCAGAAGGCTTAAAACTGAGTGATGTACAGATACACTCTGCTTCCAAGGTGAGATTGAGTGACAGTTTCTTGTCATGGCAAGATTGAGCCTATAAAATAAATAAAAAAAAGGTTCATGAACGGAATTAATTTAAAAGCAATTATTACACGATTAGGGATAGGACATATAAGACTAAATCATTCACAATTTAAAATAGAAAATCATCCGAATGATGAATGTGAAAAATGCAATGGAACATGTTTAAATAGTGTAATAAGTTTAATGAAATGTAAAGCCTACTCAGTAGAAAGGTTCATTTTGGATATAAAAAGACATAAAACAAGTTTTTATAATTTCATAATAGGAGATATTACCATTTATAAGGGCATAATTACATTTCTTAACCAAAGCTATATCTGGAATATTATAAAAATGTATAAAAAGAAATAAATTTTTAAAAGAGTATAGAGATTGCGTAGACGTTTTCATTTTCTTACAAGTGTTCCGAAATACAGATTGTGGCAGTAATGCACCAAAAGCTAGGTTTGTTATTTGAAGTCGTTACATCTAAAATAAATTATAATACTTTTAAAAAAGCAGAAAAAGACAACGGAAGCTATGCGAGTTGCAGGAAATGTACTCTCCGTTACTCTCGTGCTTTATCGCGAGATTGTCGCTTTGACGTCCAAACGAGTGTAACATGTCCATTCCATTCTAGCTAACATTGCGCACATCGTTTTTCACGTTAGCTCGTGTTTGATACCGACGTGCTAGTATTTCTCTTGCTGTTTTACAGTTGTAATTTTGGTCTCTCGTAAACGCTCCTTTCTGCTGCTTCTTGGCCGAACTAGAGGTACGTAGCACATCCGTTACAAAAGCTCAATGAGCGGTGTTAGCATGTTGGACTACGATAATGTTAGCATACCGGGCAAAATTAGCGCGCTAAAACAACAATACAGCTTAATTTACGAAACGTGTATATCTATTTAAAAAAGACTAGTTATGAAGCAGATTCAGAGTTATTACGTTAACGTAGGGTTTCCAGCATCAAAGAAGGCCTAGGCCTAGTGCTTTATTCGTCGTTTTATGTTGAGTGAACTCTGCCAGAGCAGTAATTAACGTTAGACAACATTAGAAGACATTTGATTTTATCACAGACAAGTGCAGTAAAAATATATACAACTTAAATATTAAAGGTGGTTAAGGAATGAAGTTAGGTGTTTGTTATAATATCATGGTAGTTTAATTTATCGTTAAATATGAGATGTATTTGAAAGACGTGTTATTGAAGTTATTGAGTGTTTTGTGTACTATATAATATCTCTGAAATTACTTGTTTTTATTATATATCTTAATATTTTTATTATCATTCTTTTAAAACATTACAAAATCTCTGTACAGTGTTCAGTACATTTAGAAACGCAAAGAAACAAATAATTAATTTAAATATTAAGATATATAGAGCCAACAAGCTTCAACAAAAGACATAGTAGAAAAATGTAGGAAAGACGTTAACATCATTATTAAATACTGATTTCAAGATGCCACCAGTCACCTTTTTGAATTTAGAATCGTTTTCACTTAGTCCTTGGATCAGGATATTAGGTAAAGTTGGCACTTCTAAGCAATTAAACCAAAGGGAATTATGGAACATGTGAATTATAGGTCCAGGAATTAAATTCTTCGTTAAGAGAATTCTGCTTGACGAGGCTCTGAATTATATATCTGAAAAGCTTTAAAACTTAACAATTTACTTTGATCCATAAGATCTACCACTACAGTAATATCTCAGACCAGTCATTTTTTAAAAATTACTTCATTGGTGTTTTGTTATCCTTTGTGTAAATTCCCATGCCAATGTGAGCAAAGCCTGGTCATTCATTCATTAATTTTGTTTACTTTATGTTAACTTTTGTTCACTCATATCTGCAAACTCCTATCTTGAAATGAATCCACTTTTTTCTTTACCTGCTCCAAATCTTTCTTGCCAAACTGTGTTCTTATATTATTATATTATTATGATGTCGTAATATTATTTCACAAAAATTAGGTTCAAGTTAGCTTATCAATGTTTATTCCTTTTAGCTAGAAGTACATTAATGATTATAAGTAGCAATCTTTCTTCTTTCTTCATCATAGCTAACTCTTGTTCATTCCCTTCTCTCAGAGCAGAGATGTATAACGGTATCGGGCTGACCACACCACGTGGAAGTGGTACCAACGGCTATGTTCAGAGGAATTTGTCCAGTATACGTGTGAAAAGGAACAGAGATGAGCGTGGAGGAGAGCGGGATGAGAAAGACAAGGAGAGACTTGAGAGTCTGCTCAACAGGCAACCCAACGCTGAGATCCTGGAGCATCAGAGGAAGAGACAGCTGGAGGTGAAATGTGCTGAGCTGCAGGACATGATGGAGGAGCAGGGGTAAGGTCAAATAAAACATGTGACGTTCCATTAAGAATTTTGCTCTAAATGGTTAGAAAAGATCACAAATCTTTTTTATTTATTTATTTTTCCTTAACAACCTGAGGGATAAGAAACAGCTATGGATTGTAGTTCAACTTAAAAAGATGTGTTGAAAAATATTGACAGAAAAAAATGACTGAAAACAAATAAACATACAAAAGTGGTATGTCAGAATTAAGTGATCTAAATATTCTTAGTAGAAACGCCAGCCGTTATTTAAACATTCTGTGGTTTTCAGTGCAGAAGAGAAAGAGATGTGAGATTTAATCAAGAAACTTATTGTTTAAAGTGTCGAGATTCCAGGGTAAATTCTTACATTTTGTGCATTTTAACAAACAAAAATACCCTTTTTTGTTAAACCATACCATTTTGAGCAGTAAATATGGTTAATTTCCTACTGCAAAAATTGTCCATGAGCAGTTTTTAAGTGTTAAGACAAAATAAAAATTCATAAATCCTCAAAAAAAAACATTGACAAGGTCAAAACAATGTGAAATTTGTATAAAAAAATTACCAGGCGAACATCTGCTGAACCTTAGTCACTGTTGCAAGTACATTTTGTTCCGTTGTGCTTTTTTTGTGCCAGAACTTTGAAAACACAAGCAATATCACAGGCATTGGATTTCCAAGGGTTATACCTTCTTGTGGCAGTCGTGGCCTAGTGGATAAGGTGATTGACTGGAGATCAAAAGGTCGCCAGTTCGATCAATTGACTCCACTGGGAGTCAAGGTGGAATTAGTGTTGAAACTCTCTCTCCTGTGACAACTATGACTGGTGACCTTGAGCAAGTCACCAGTTCCCCACAGCTCCCTGGGCGCCGCAGCTATGGCTGCCCACTGCTCCCGGTGGGTTTGTTCACTGTGTGTGGGAACTTGGATGGGTTAACTGGAGAGCACAAATTCCTTGTATCCGTGCTCGGTCCTAAACTTCACTTTCACCACTAGATGGCACTGATGACGCCAATTCAGGGTATGTAAAGTATAAAAAAGTTAACAGACGGTCACACATTTCTCACATTTTAGTTTGAATTACCATGCAAATTACATAGAACTCTTGTAATGTTTGTTTAAAACCAAAGATATCAAAGCTAATATCCTAATACAATTCCACATTATATTTGAAATCAGAATTAAACAATAAGTGGGTCGTGTCATTCCTACTTTGTTCAAAACAGCTGTTGTGATAAACTTCTAAGGGTTAAATGTGTAATTTTTGTAGATGTTAATAAAATAAATATTCTGCTATTAATATTTTATACAAAAATATTATTTTACTCATTCAGTTAGACTAAAAATATCTTAATAAATGGGTTAACTTGATATATTTAGCAAACAATTACATAAATAAATATTCTTTAATGTTCTCAGAATAAATATTTTTTGGGTGGGTTGATGTAAATGATTAAATATCGATTTTCATATTTGAGCTACAGCTGAGAAAATGTGAATTACATGCAGCAGAGTCAGTCAATTACTTTCAGAGGAGGGGTATCAAAGGAGATCTGTTGCTGGGATGATCTGTACCAGTTTCGGCCTAACCCTTAGACTGGAAAAATGAATGTTATGGGGCGCTAAGATGCTGTAGCACCCCTAAACATGGCTTACTACTGGGCACCGCGACACCTCCGTATTAGCCATGAATGTAAAGTTCATTTTATAATCTGAGAGACACATGAACGCAGAGCATGATGCTCCACCATAGATGCTCATTTAATAATTATCCAGTTCTCAGTGAATACATCAACAAGGAGAACTCTACATTGAGAAGCACTTTCACACACATCTGTCCCTGAAAATAAACTGGTCTGGTTGACTGCTGGATTAAGAGCATGTGAGCGAGTGAAAACTGAACACTGTTTGTCTACTTTTGCAGATACACTGCAGAGGAGATTGAAGAAAAGGTCAACACCTTCCGTTTAATGCTGCAGGAACGAGAAGAACCTGCACCTCCTTCAACAGAGAAGACAGTGTGAGTACAACCTAAGCTCTTTAATCTCGAGTTATTGTCTATTCTGGAACTATTTTCTCATGCCATGTTTTCTTTTAACAGTCTGACTGAAACGCATGCTTTAGCAGCAGCAAATCAGCAAAAGAATGACCGTCTGAAAGAAGCGTTTGGGATCAGCTCTGACTACGTTGATGGTTCATCCTTTCATGCAGACCGAAAGGAGCGAGAGAAGGAGAAGAGGGAACAGGAAAGGCTTGAAAGAGAGAAGCAACAGCAGCAGAAGTACCAGTGAGTAGAGAGGGTAGTGAACTTCTTTTCTATTAGAAGTGTTAAGGCTTAGCTCTGGACTCTCTTCTCTGTCCTTTCAGGATTATTGAGTCTAATGATTCAGATTCATCTCCTGAACGAAAAAAGAGCCGCAAAAAGAAGAAAAAGAAAAACAAAACCAGAGAGAGGTAAACTTGAGTTTAGGGTGTATGGTATGCTCGTGCTTGGAGTTTTATTGAAATCCATACATTTATTTTTCTCTTCATGGAAATAGCTCTGAAAGCCCTTCTCCCTCCCCACGTCGAGAGAAGAAAAAGGACAAGAAGAAGAAAAAGAACAGGTTTTTATTGTAGATCTTCATAGTTACTTAGTAACTGTGTTCGTGTTTATTGACCTTTAGGGCTGTAACTAATTATTATTTCAATAATCGACTAATGAAAAAGCATTAAGCCTGACTTCCATTTGTGTCATCATCTTAGCTCTTGAAAAAGAAGGGTTCAAAACAAACTCCAATGGTTTGAAACCACATATACCTCAACCAAATGGTTCTAAACTACTGGCAAATACATTTTTTAAACAAACATAATCAAAAAGAAGTTTGACATGCATTATGCTGCTGTTAGGCTAATAAGGGTTCATCATTCCTGTAAACTGGCTTTTTTTCCATATAGCCTTGAAATCTAACATTTAACCTCTTAAGCCCGAGAGTCCCCGGTACTGGGGACTTGCCCCCTTGTGCATTACATTTTCGCTCATAGCTCACTAACCCTGAGAGTAACCCACACATATTAAATACTGTTGTGTTCAGCGGAAACTCCTCTAAAAACGTATCTAATTCAATTTCATATCCGTTAACCACAGCTCGAACGCCATGCAAATAAACAAAAACATAACCGGAGTATAATTCATGACCAAGTTTTTGTTTATGTGCGATATGTATCCACAATATAAACGGAAACACCAAAACCATGGCATCAAATGAAAGCTAACAACCAGCTGAATCCAGCGATATGCAACTCATTTACATTGCATGAAGTCTTTCAGAGCAGGGAGCTCTGTGCTCGTAATAACATGACCAAATATGGAAACACTCACCATGCGTAAAAGCAGTCCTCTCCACGCTCCGTGTCCTGTGATTCGTCAGTGGATATCATTGGATTCTACAGATTCAAAGCTTTCCAGCGAGGTAGAGAGCTCCCGGATTGGACAGACACACACGGGGTGGACACACGGAAGTTCCAAGGTTGGAAGCGCTATGAACGCAAAGAGCACAGAGACAGCGTAAATGGGCTTCCACCCCCCTTTTACAGCGTTTCTTTAGGAGTTTTTTTGCTGAAATCATGTCCCATAAGCAAGAAAAGAAGACTACGAACGTAGCGGAAGCTTTGGACAATATTTTTTCCATATTTCAATTATTGTGCCAAACTGTGCCGAAATGGATTACGCCTGAACTTTGTACAGAATATTAGTTTCTTGTAGTATGGACACCAAACTTGCTAAAGATGTCCTTCACATGTATTGGTTACAATTGATTGTGTTTATTTGCTTCGTTATAAGTAAAATAAGGAGATATTAGAGGAAACAGTTTTTTTTGGCGGAGTTCATTTTTTGGCCAATTCAACATCAATTACTCTTACCCAGTGTTCTTGACTGTCAAATTAACTCATCCACACCACTCCCCAAGAACCCTTCTTCATTTTGATACCAAGATTTGCAGTTTAGACCTTGTAAAAGCTGAGAAATGCCTTATAAAGTGAAGGTATAGGATTTTCGGAAAATAGGCCTCAGGGCTTAAGAGGTTAAAAAAAGATGGTTTTCGTCATTTACACCTTGATCATTAAAACTTTATCACTTGGATGTCACTCTTGATGGCAGCCATTGTTGTGGAGTTGGTTAATTAGAGGGTGAGGCATATTATTGGGGTTTTTTTTGTCGGTACTCTCCTTCAACATTTGATTGAATTTCATTTTAGAATGAGTTTTGGGAGGAGCCTATAAAGACTGGCCTAAAACTAAACTCTAGCTCATTACAGCTCCTTTATATTAGGCAATTCAACCAGAGATTTGTTGTAAGTTCATAAACAGGGGTTGGAACTGTATCACTCTGTTCCGTGACGCTGACAACTTGCCTAGTACACATCAATATTCACTATATATATGCTTGCAATACTAGGCTGGTCTGAGTGAATTTGTGAAATTGGAATTGTAAAATCTCTTTCTAACAATTGTGTTTCAGGGACGATTCGGTGGAGAGTATAACTGACAGGTAGGCTTTCTTGAGTTTTCTCTTTCATGAATTTTTTTCGAACATTTACATTGAAATGCAATATTTTGTGCTGTAGCACCTCGTCAGACAACAAAGGCAACACCAGAAGAAAGAGAAAAAGGAGCGATGGTGAGACCCAACCTCCCAGTAAGAACAGGAAACGTCAAAGTGCATCGTCCAGCCCGGCAAGCAGGTATTAAGATGGATGTCTAGTGGAGCTATGAGGGTAGTGAGCATTGTTATTACAGCTCCGCTGGACAATGGCTTCATTACCTGTTGTTAATTCTGAAAGTGAAACTATAAATATGCTTTCGTTTGTCAGTCAATCGCCTCGAAGAGGGCCGCGGCAAAATATATCTGAATCTCATCTGGATGGAGGGCGGAAAGGAAGATCCCCAGTCAGGAGACGCCAAGACCGTAGTGAGACCAGTCCAAAGAGAAACGAAGCCAGAGAGGTAGAAATTCTGATTGTATTCCAGATCTTGAGTATAGATTACCTGTTTCCATTCAAATGTTTGAAAAGTCAGACATCGGTATGTTAGATATGATTATTTTCTGTCTGCCTAAAATCCAAATCTCAATTAGTTGAAGATTTCAGCTCGATTGTGATTGTTGAGCGATTATTTTATCACAATAAATTATTTTTATATATTTATTAAGTTTTGTACAGTAAAAAGTGCCCAAATATTACAAGTTAGAGATTTTAGAATGAAGCGTACATTTCTTGATTATCAAAATATAAAGGTGCCACTTCTGGGGGTCAAAACTGTGTGTCTACATCTGACTTCATTTTGTTCAGATGATGGAGACTGAGTTTTTCTTTAGTATTAGTTCATGAGTGTCAAACTCAGTTCCTGGAGGGCCGAAGCCCTGCACAGTTTACTTCCAACCCTGCTCAGAAAGACCTGGAACTAAGTTTTGTGGTCACGTGACATCACACGCTATAGTGTTCTTAAAAGAGAAAGTAATCAAAATAATCAACCTGGAGAATTTTTATTATAGCTTCTGATTCTGATATAGATTGATTGCCTGACCCTACAGTGTACCATGGGATGTTAGCTGGTGTGCCGTAGAACATTATCCCATTGCATCTAATTGGTCTAAATCCAGGTCTAGTTTGTGTGTTTATTTGTTTCCCATTCAAAAAGTTTCATTTTACTTTCTTACAGCGTGCCTTGAGGAATTTATTGATAAGCTCAAAACTCAGCATGCGCTACATAAGAAGTAACCTGTGCAGA